TGCACACTACAGTTCCCTCTATACCCGGGGGCAAGTGAGAAATTCATAGGGAGTGGGTGGCAGGTACGGTTCGTTGTAGTGATGGCCTTGTGCCCACCAGTGTGATCGGAAACCACCACTCAAGGTGATAACCTTCCTCTTTTGGCACAAAGACTGACTATGGCCTTAGTGCTAAGCATGGTCGGAAGGTTGGGGAGTGGGGACCCTATAATGGGGGCACCTTGGGGGCCTTAGCCTTGGTGAGAACAGTTAGAACCTACCTTCGCCAATGCACTTTTCTGCAGGAAAACCCTACCTCGTGATTAAAACGACTTCGCGCCTGTTCGTGGATGATCGAATTGTGTGTGTGCATCTGTTTGTTGCATTTGTCTGTTGCATAACATAACCAAACAAAAAAAAAAACAACATTTTTTTGCAATAAACACCCTTATCTCGGACAATCTTCCTTTTAGCTAGCCTGGTTTTAGGTTCTTTGTAAGCTAAGTAGCCACGCAGTCCGACAGAAGAGATAAGGGACGCTAATATTATTCTTTCGCCAATAAAACCATTTTATCTCGGACAGTTTGCCTTTTAGCTAGCCTGATTTCAAGTTCTTTGTAAGCTAGGTAGCCACACAATCCAACAGAAGAGATAAAAGGCTAAAAAAATAAATCCAAAATAAATAAAATAATAATAACAAAATCAAAACATTTATAAAAATAATTTTGACAAAGTCGTATCATTCATATTGCATCATGTCAAAAGTGGAAAAACCAAGAAAAAAAATAAATGCATAAGGAAGGTATGCATACGCATCATTTTAATAAATCCCTAAAACATGGGTCTTAGAAGCGTTTTTTGGGAAAAATACTGGGTCAAATCCCCTTTGGGTATCTGTAACTTGATTCTTCACCTTTTTCTCTTCGTTTTGATATGCTGTGCATCCAAATCGGACATCTCAGTCAAAAGTTATGTCACTTTGAACATCTACCGCCCTTTTGTATTGGTGCATGCATAAATACATTCATTCTAAGGAATATCCATCTCATAAATCATTTGTTTTAAACTATAAAAATGTTTTTGCATTCTAGAAAGCGGCTGGTATTCTTCATGCCCTCATCCGCATACAAAAAAAAGGCAAAATCCCAAACACTATCATACATCATGTTAGAAAATAAAACATGATAATGTTTAGGAAAAAACAAACACTTGCATACATGCATCCACCAAACTTCATCCTCATAACATCATCTAGTAGTAGGCGGTTGAAGAAAGTGGACATTCCTCAATACCATGTGAAGAGGATAGGGCATTCGCATGCCATGCACGGGAAGTAAAAAAAAATAAAATAGAAATTCTAACCTGCCTATGGATTCATTTAGGCTTCTCCACTTTTAAGAAAAATGTACTTTGAAACATTGCATCGAAGAATGTACACTGTCTGGATGAAATAAATAAAATTGTTTGTTTTCATCATCTCTTCAAGTGTCTATTATATCCATAAATTGCATTCATAAATTGCATTCATTCTCACTTTAATAATAATAAGATAATAAAAAGAAAGGATTAATTGATGTGCTTTCCACAAATCGAAGTAAGATGAAGAGCAAACTTTTCGTCGTCAAGTTCTCTCCAACGGTTGATCCGCCTAAGGAGGATAATAAGCCTCAACCGTTGGTCATCCAAGTTAATAAAGAGAGGGGGCAAGGATGCCATTGCATTTGTTCACGCCTCATACGTCAAATAAAGTTGTACCATGGAGGTACGTAGAAACATCGCCCATCATTGAGGATATCTCCAGCATAGCCGACATTGGGGGCAAAATTAGAAGTAGAAGAATTTACTTCCCCGAGGAGCTACAAGACAATGCTCCCAAGAATAAAGGAAAAATAATAAGACCGAAGAAAAGCATAATCCAAAGAGGAAATTGAATAGACTTTGGATTCACGATGTTGAGGCAGTTCTCTCAACACTTCGCCAGAGAGACAAACTCATGACAGGCGACAAACTGGTCTCGGTTCAGGCTAAAGACGACATTCGGATCAGCAAGTCATCTACCCTGCCTTGAATGGAAACGGCTGAAGAGGACCTTTGAAATATCTTTTGCCAATATGAAAAGACTGCCCCAACAATATGACGGTGACCCACATGATAAGGAAATATGGATGCCGCCCAAACCAAGGGCTCATTAGGACCTTTCAAGGAATAAGGGAGCCACCAGATTTTAAAGACAATCCTTCAAAGCATTACCCTACAAAGGATCAAACTGCACGGAGAAAAGGGAAGTCTCTCCTTTGCACCTCGAATCAGATTTTCCCAAATGAAGGGGTTTAAGCGTCAAAAGCGACTTTATTCATTAGGTGTTCTCCTTCTGATTCTTAGGGTTTGTAAATCCAATGACTATTCGAGATTACTCCTCGGGGCTAGGCCGACCCCCAAGCATTGTAGGGCACATATTTCCCTATTAATTACAAAGAATGTCATTCTTACTATCTGCTTCTCTTCTTGCTATTAATGTCTAAACCTCATTAATAACCATGTTTAAGCAAACGTTTTCAAAAGTGCGTCAAAGTAATCAAAATGCACCATTGACCAAAATAAAAGTCAAATCCATTACCACTGATTGACTAGAAACACAAAATAAAGTTTTACCTCGTCATAAATAAAGTCGTGTTTCACCAATGTTGTGCAAAAAGAAAACAAAAATCAAAGGAAGCCCATAGAAGCTAAAAAGGCCAAAAAAAAGGGCAAGGTACCCGGTAGGAAACCCATTAAAGGGGGCTACGCAAAAGTTAGGGTAAACCCGCTAGGAAACCCGAACAACCATAAAGGGTAGCCTAGGCAAAAACTAGGGTTACAAAATAAAGTCCGCTAGGTTTCCCAAAGCAACAAAAAAAGAAACCTAGACAAAAGTTAGGACAAAACAAAACACAACATCCTAGACTGAAAACCCAAAGGGCGGACTAGGGAAGTCAATCAGTCATAACAAGCGCCATAGAATAAGACGTCACTCCATAAACAAAACGTTTGTTTAAACTAGCATAAACACTCTAATCAACCTTGGCTAGCCATACTTACAAAAACCATTTTTTGTCAAAATAAAACAATTCTAAAACACAAGCCTTTGAATTAAATATCATTTTCTTTCTCTTCTGTTGACCCTTACTACTACAACATTCTAGTAATTAGTAGGTAAATGTGGAGATAGTAATCAATAGGAGGATTGACATCCCCAAGGAAAGGGAGGGGCGCACTGACATGGCAAGTTGCTCTGAAATCAACACAATCATTCTTCAGTCACGGTAAAGTAAAGACGGCAAAATCGGTACAATCTATCCCGTCGATGAAAGCATATAAAGTCAGAAGGTCATCAGAAATAAAAACACATTTGATTAATCCTTTTGAAATATTAATTGAAATAGCATTGTAGGATGCATATCGCGAACATTGCATGCATATGATAGGGTCCTATCTCTCAAAAAAAAAAAGAAAAGAAAAATGAAAATAAAAAGAATAATGCCTGCTAGGATATTCTTAGGAAAAAGTTAGGGTAGCCCGCTAGATCGAAAACCCGCAAAGCGCGGTCTAGGCAAAAGTTAGGGCATTCACAAAAAAGAAAAAAGCCCGCTAAGATATCCTAGGCAAAAAGTAAGGCAGCCTGCTATACCGAAAACCCCAAAAGGGCGGTCTAGGAAAAAGTTAGGGCTAAACTAAAAAATGAATAAAAGAGAGGGGTCCTTCATCATAATCATGAAAGTCCAGCAGGAGAATGCCAGTTACTTCTCTAGATGCATCAAAAAGATAGATTGCATTTAAGGCATCCACACACAAGTAGTCGCACAAAACGACTTTGTCCAGACAAAAATGAAAGAAATAAAAATTACTTCAGATAAAAAACAAAAAATGAAAAGCATTAATGCATATAAGGAGACTAGCTCCATGATTGTGATTGAAAACAGGATCATCGAGACCAACTCTCCAAATAATGCCCTCAAGAAAATAGAGCAAGTCGTCAATCAAGCGACTCATCAAAATAAGAGCTTCCGGAAATCAAGAGCTTCAGCTACCATCCTTCTACCCAAAAAAAGAAGGCACAAGTCTTCAAACATTTCTCAAGAAAGAAGAGCGAGTTGTCATCATCAAATAAGCTCAAAGGAAATAAGAAGCTTCCAGAAGCCAAAGCTCCAGTCATCATTTTTCTACCCAATAAAGGAGGGCACAGTCATCAGACATCATAAAAGAAAAGCCGACGGAAAGGCTTAGTCATCCCCAAGAGGATCCCTTCCTACTCCGAAAGCAAAACAAAAACACTCCTCATGGCTCAGCATTACCACTACATGAGTCATCGAGCACACTCACCCAAAGTCTCCTCCACACTCCCCAATGGAGAATAAAGGCTTCAAGAGCCCATCATCATCAACAGTCAAAAGAGTCCAATCTCCATACCAACAAGGGCTCAACAAAAAAAAAGGAAAAAAGAAGAAAACTCTTGCATCCCCAGAGGATGTCCAAAAGAAAAGGCAACATCAGAGAAGGCCGAATAAAAATCCTCAAGTGGATCTCCTAAAAAGTCTATAAAAAAAGAATTAGAAATTCTCATTCTCCAAGTAGAATAAGAGCTTCACAAGCTTAGCCCGCATCAACATCAATAACGGAGCCAAGACTCCATCCCTAGAAAAGAAAAATCAGATCTCCAGGGAGTCAACTAATTCCCTGGTGGATCACCAAAGAAAGAAAACTTCATCCCTAATGGACCTCCCAAAAAGAAGGAAAAAAGCCAGCGTAATAAAAAGAGACTAAAAAGTAAAAAGGCTTACGCATTATCCCGAAAAAGCCAAATTTCAAATCGCGAAAAAAAAGAGATAAATCGCGGAAAAAGGAGAAATCAAATGAAAATCCTTGCTCCCTAAGTGGGTCACCTCAGAAAAAGAAAAATCAACAAAAAAGAAGGAATTGGAAATTCCATCCCTTTAAGAGAATAAGAGCACCACAAAAGCCAGCTCGCACCCACATCAATTAAGGAGCCAAGATTCCATTCCCCCAAAGGGGCTACCAAAATCTGACCCCCGGGAAGTCAACCAATTCCCTGGTGGATCAATAAAAAATAAAGAATCCCTAGCAAACAACAAGATGGATGGCTATCAGGAAAAGCCAAAAAACAAAGAATCCCCGGCACACCGAAAGACTTTATTAGAAAGGTCCAAAAGCATTTACCAAAATAGAAATCACTCCCCATGGAGCCGGCACATGAGCCATCTGAACAGTAAGCCACCACTACCACCAGCCCTACGCAGCGGACTGTACCAACCTGATAGGGGGTTCATACCTATCAACCTGCACATGCGGTGCACCTGATCTGCGCTCGAGCCGGATCAATAAGTCGCAACTACCAGCCTGATGGGGGGTTCATACCCATCCAGTTTGACACACAACGGACTGCAACTACCAGCCTGATGGGGGGGTTTATACCCATCAACCGAAGGATCGGCTACCGTTAGAAGGAGTATCCTGAGGTTCTACCATGTGTCCACCGAAGGGATCGGCTACCATCAAAAGGAGTATCCCGGAAGTGCACAAACACAAGTTTTCCCCAGAAGATCAACCGCCGCAAGACGAAACATCTGAAGGGTAACCGGGCAAGAGGGTCAACTCCTTTACCTTCCTGTCGATCTGTCTGGCACAACAGGCCAACAACCGACTAGTCAGGTAAAGGGGGGGCAGCTGTAGACCAAATCTTGCCCGGCCTCATAATAAAGATCAGAAGACCTCCTTTTCGAAGATGGATGAAGCTTAAGAAGCCACTAGGAGAGACTATTAGGCCCCATACTAGGATAGGAGGGATTTTTGGCACAAAAATAAGGATTTTCACCTTTTGGGGTCGAGACCGCCTTCTCGGATTCGAGACTGCCGTCTCGCCTTGCGCAAGTGGCGAGACCGCCGTCTCATTTGGCGAGATGGCCGTCTCGCCACCTACAAATGGCGAGACCGTCGTCTTGATTGGCGAGACCGCCGTCTCGATTGGCGAGACCGCCGTCTCGATTGGCGAGACCACCATCTCGACCTTGTCAGATGAGACGGCCCGTCTCGACCTGACAGGCGTGAATTCCTATAAATAGGGCCTCCATTCCCCTCATTTCACACAGCTTTCTCACTCTCTCTCTAGTCACATCACTAGATTCTCTCTCTAGAACCCCTCCGAAGCATTTCCGGAGTTTCTGAGCGTTTCTAAGAGTGTTTTATAGCGTTTCGAGAGGTTTCCAACGCTGTAGAGAGTGAAGGGCTGCCACATAGCACCCTTTTTTTTTAAAGAATTAATATAAAACTTGCTCCGGAGGTTTCTACTTTCTCCCTCTATCTTTTACTGCTTTATTTAAATTATGCAATAGATACTAGGGCCATGTAGTTGTAATTTTAAATTCCGCAAATAAAAGGGTAAAAGCGTATTTTTCTGGTTTAATCATTTAAATAGCTGGCCTATCATAGGGAACCCGAAAGGGGCGTCGTAAAGGAACTAACACTTCCTTTACACGTAACTAACTCCCTTACCCAACTCTGGTTCTAATGACCAAAGTTGGTTTTTCGAAAACCAACGCCTTTTAACTCCTTTTTCGATGTTTCCGGTAAAAACATCGGTGGCGACTCCAGAGAACCCTTCAAAACTAGCTCTTGGGTTAGCCCGGTTATCGGACAATCCAAGAGCACCTTTTCGAAAACCTCGCCCCTAGGTTCAACTCGGTTATCGGACAACCTAAAGGCGTTGTAACCACACCAATAAAAACGCGAAAATTAGAAAGTCAGAAACCATCGCGTCGCTCCGACCGCCTCATTTTGACAGCGACGATAGAGCTTTATTTGGAGACTTGTTTTGAGTGCTTCTTGTTTTCAAACACAAACATGGAGCTAGTCTCCGTATATACATGAATGCTTTTAGTTTTTTGTTATTTATCTGAGGCGAATTTTACTTTTTGCTTTTCGATTTTGACAAATTCGTTTTGTGCGACTACTTGTGTGGATGCCTTAAATGCAATCTATTTTTATTTGAAGCATCTAGAAAAGTGACTGACATTCTCCGTTGGACTTTCATGATTATGCAGGGCTCCTTTTTTATTCATTTTTTTAAGCCCTAACTTTTGCCTAGACCGCCCTTTTGGGGTGTTCGATCTAGCGGACTGCCTTAATTTTTGCCTAGGATATCTTAGCGGGCTTTTTCCTTTTTATGAGTGTCTTATCTTTTGCCTAGACCCTTTGCGGGTTTTTGATCTAGAAGGCTGCCCTAATTTTTGCCTAAGAATCTCCTAGCAGACATCATTCTTTTTATCTTTATTTTTCTTTTTCTTTTTTCAATGCTTCTTTGTTTATGATGCATGAAAAGACCTTGACAAAATGACTTTGCACATATTTATGATTTATCAATGTAGAGGCAATTTCATAAACTGGTCAAGAGAAATGAAATGAATGAGAATTTTATTGATATGTATGAGTAAAGGTTTATTATTTTCACAAAAGTATTACAAATGGAATTTAGAAGAATGGCTGGCCTAGGTTGGCTACACTGTATGGGCTTCAACAATCATGTCTTATGATATCTGCCCCCCTGGTTCTCCTAATTACCTTAGTTGAGATGCTCGAGTCCGAAGTGAAGACTATACAAGACTACTTGCTTCTGGAAGGGTGTGACCTTAGCTGTCATTCGGTTTTCGACTAAGGCAACCATTGCTCTTAGGGGATTTTTTATTTCTTCTCTTCTTCCCCTTTGCTTCTTTCTTCTTCTTCTTTTTATGAGAAAGCCTCTAAATTCTGCCTAGGATGTATCCTAGCGAGGCGAGTGGTCCCTAACTTTTGCCCAGTATGCCCTTTGCGGGTTTTCATCCTGGCGGGTCATGAGCAATGCCCTTCAACCATAATACTTCTTCACCGTATCGGAGTTGACCGAGTGTCGAAGTTCCTTTTTTATCCATATCAGTGAGGGTAAGAGTTCTTCCTGAGGATACTCGTTTAATCGCAATTTGCCACCCATTTTCCTATTTTGTCTTTTTGGGTCGTAAGCAATTTGTTTGCCATTAAATTCCCATCATGGTAAATATGGGGGTTGACCTTGTTTTGTCGTAAGCCCTTTGATCTTCTTTTGGTGGGCTTGTTATCGACATATGGCGTCTAACCGTTCTTCTTCGATTAGGTTTGAGTGGTTGCATCGACTTTGGACCCACTAAGCTTTTGTCAGTTTTGCTTCCATGGTAACTTGTCAAGGAAGGTATCTCAACCTCTTTTGGGAGTACGACCTCCATGCCACATGTAAGGGAGAATAGAGTAACTCTCGTGGAGGTTCATATAGATGATAGATATCTTATGAAGGGCAGAGGATAACGATCCTTGTAGGTTTAGACCATGTTCCGGATGATCGTCTTAATGTTCTTATTGGCTGCCCCTTACTGCATCGTTCAGTTTAGGTCGATAAAGAGAGGGTTTAAGGTTTTGGATTTTGAGATCTTGGCATGTCATACGCATGTGTCCACATACTCTCTTGGAAACTGTACCAATCCTTCCTGGACATTATTGTCGATTTGGGTATTTTCCTTCTTATCGTTTCCTTGCCCCCAAATCGATGGTCTTTGTTTCTTCCTTAATGAGCCATATAGATTGAGCTTCTCTTTTTTTTTAATAGCTTTTGTATGTTCAGGGAGACGGTCCCCTTCTCACTGTCTGACTCAATCCATTCGCCTTCGGCTTTCGGACCCCCAAAGAGTCATCCATCACATACATGAATGTTTTTATTTGGTTCTGTTGAGGCTTGTTAGAAATGTAGGCTGAGATCAAGAGGGGGGGTGAATTGATCTTTGAAAGATTTTCGCAATTTACAGATTATCTATTTCAAAGATTAAGATATCTGACCAGATCTTGAATCACACACAACAAGCAATCAAAAATAAATGCAGTGACACAATTGAAGGAGAGAAAGGTTTAGAAAGATACAACCAAGATTTATACTGGTTCACCCAATCCCAGGGCTACGTCCAGTCTCCAGCCAAATTCCAGCTGGGTTCCACTAGATTGAACGTTTTACAGATTACAACTTTAATCTCACACTCAATCTACCACAAGATCCACAATTCCAGTTCCTGCACCTAAACCTTCACCAAGAACCAAATTCCAGTTCTTGACCAACCCTGCAGCCAAATTCCAGCTACAGAAACTAGTGCCCACAATTCCAGGCACCCACAATACAAGAAAGAAAGTAAAGAAACAAATAGAAGAAACTTAGAACACTCAAACCGGATTTATGCCACTGCTGAGTATGTGTTTCTTCTCCAAAAGAATGCAATTTTGCCTCAAGAAAGAACTTCTATGAACTTCACAAAAACTAGCGTGATTCTCTCTTGAAAGTAGCACTTATGATTGCTTGATTGATTGCTAAAAGATGATTTTTAAAAGGTTCAAGCAATTCTGTTTATATAGAAGATTTTCAAAACTGCTAGTTTATTTAATCTGTTAAAATAATCTTTTAATCTGTTAAAAGGCTTGTTTTAATCTGTTAAAACTTCTTTTAATCTGTTAAAAAGATCTTGATTATTTTCCAGATTTGTTTTAACTGATACGACACCGTTTATATCAATTAAAACTCTTTGTAAAAAATCTTCCAAACTGTTTTAATCGATTGTTTCGTCTTTCAATCGATTAAAATACTGCAAAACATTCTTATAAACTTTTCTAAGTGATTTTAACTAATAACAATTTGTTTTAATCGATTAAAACATTTTGAAAAAAAGTTCACTTAGTTATTTTAATCGATTGAAACGCATTTTAATCGATTATAATTCTGCCAAAAGATTTCATAAAACTTTCTAAGTTATTTTAACTGATAACAAGCTTGTTTTAATCGATTAAAACATTCGGAAAAACCTCTTAGTTGTTTTAATCAATTATTTCACATTTGTATCAATTAAGATACTCGACTGAACAACTTTCAAAACATTTCAAGTTATTTCAAATGATTATTTCGAGTTTGTATCGATTAAAATTCTGCCAGAACACTTTTCAAAATATTCTAAGTCATTTTAATCGATTATATCAATTCTATATCAGTTAAAATACTAGCAGAAGGTTTTCAAAAAATCCTTCTAATGAAAACAATCGATTATTTCGAAAACATATCAGTTAAAAACCTGTTACAAAAGTGTTAAGAACATTTTAGTTGATAAAGCTTATATACTATTAGTTAAAATAGTTAATTAAAAACCTTTTAACAAAATACTTTGTTTTTAACCGTTTAAACATTTTTTAGAGGCAAGATCTTTGACTTTATTTTTGACTTCATCAAATCAGCAAGATCTTTGCCAAAGTAATTCAATAAGATCTTC